GTGTGTGTGTGTGTGTGTGTGTGTGTGTGTGTGTGTGTGTGTGTGTGGCTAGCTGGAGGTCTTTAAGGTGCATGTGTTCCTTTATGTGGGCGGAGTAGCTGGGGAGCTTTACGATGTGTGTGAATGTGACTTTACGAGTCAGTGACTGTCACACTCTAACACAGTCTTTAAATCAGGGCCCCAACTTTTATCTCCTTTTAGATGGGCTGACAGGTAGATAGGGCTGTTATTCTTCCACACTCGCACACAAACACAGCCGCACAAACACAAGTCCATGCGCACACCGATATTGGCTCTCTGTCAGCTTCTTTAAGTTCGTTTCCCTTGACCATTCGCCTCCAAAACGGTGGAGACGAGAGGCTGTAGCATTACTTTATGTTTCATTCATCGTTTTGGTTGTTTGTTAAAGCTTTGATTGGGTGACCGCACAGACACACACATGTACACACACGGGGGGGTTGGTTGGGTCTTTGTGTATCTAATCAGACTAATAGACTGAGGAGAAATGGAGTGAGGACCCCGGGGAGAATGGACACTAAATCTGAGGGAAACAATATGGTGTCCGTCCTCTGGATGAGCGATAGGTTTCCGGGCTGGATGCCCAGCAGGCCGGTCTACAGAGACATGGGTTGGGCCAAAGCTGTCCGCTCGCCGCCAGCAGCAGTGTGCCATAGATGCTATAAATGGCAGACACTGGAATACATTTAGCTTCCAATACAAATTTTAGATCTGGGGGGGGGCGGAATAAAAAGTGAAATTGAATTTTAGAGATCTGGCAAACTTGATTCTCTTTTTTTTTTGGCCCACTGCCGAGAGGCGAAAGTGGGTGTTAATGTTTTTTTGTGCGTGTGTGTGTTAATGTGTCTCTTAGCTAAGTATGTCATGAACACATTTGACACGTTTTAATGAAACTTACACAAGGTAATCATTGTATGCACATCCACAAGTGATTTACCTTTTGGAGTCTGCATGATTCAAGTCGGCCACCAAAGCCAGCTAACATTTAAAAAAAAATAAAAAAATCACTAATTTATTTAATTTTACAGATGTGCTAAAAGTAGGTGTAGCTGAGAGTAATCCTCAGCTTTTCTAAGCGCGACAGATTCCATATAATGTTGCAAGATTTGTTGAAACCAGGTACATCTGTCATTTCTCAGCATGAGATGATCTTTGTCTAAAACTCGCATGAAAGGTGGTGAGCACCGACTGAAGGTGCATTCTTTCAAATGAGTGGTTCTCAAACATTTTGGGTTCAGGGACCCCCTCATAACCCTCATGTTTATTAAATAATTTTAATCAGTTTGTCTCTTTAATGCAATGGAAATATTTGTGTAACATAAATACTTAAGACTTGTTATTTCCAAAGATTACAGTTTTGAGAAAATTAACAGCATCAAAAATCACTTTAAAACTTTACCTATTCATAAGTAGATGTGATTTCCTGCATTTTGGTGTATTTTAATGGGTTAATTTGTTAAACATCTATGTGCTTGTTAAAAAAAAAAAAAAAGCAATATATGTATAAAATTTTATTTATTTATTTTTGCGGACCCTCAAGCACTGGCTCGCGGACCCCCGGGGGTCCGAGGACCCTAGTTTGAGAACTGCTGCTTCAAATAATACAAACCTTCCTTTGATGTTTTTTATGTAGCACGTTCGTTCAGTCAACTTTCCATCCAAATGCAGCACTTAAAAAATGTAGAAGCTCAACCATTTGACCTATTAGCGAAAGTATTGAATTACATTAGTTTATTTTTTTATTCCTAATTATTGTAACTTTGACTTATTAAAGTTCCCAAATTTTTGTTTCATTATTACGACAAATATTTCAACTACTTTTTTATTTACTTGGACCATGAAAACTTCAAGACGTCTTCTCGTGAATGTTCAGTGGGAATCTTTTCATATTTCTGTGTTTTTCTCTTCTCAGTGGAAACCATTCTAGGTCTGACTGGTGCCACAATGGGCAGTCTCATATGCTTCATATGCCCTGCTCTCATCTACAGAAAAATCCAGAAGAATGGTTTTGTTTCTCAGGTTGGCCTCTACCCTTTTTTTTTTTTTAGTGAACATCCTAAATTGCTTAATTTTTTTTAGATTGTTCACATATTCTGTCCTTCTGTGTTGTAGCTCGTTCTGTGTGTTGGCCTGGGGATCCTACTCCTCAGCACCTTCACCACCCTCTCAATTTCGGCCAGTAGCTCCAGCTCCAGCGTCCAAGTTCACCCTCCCCCAGCAGCTGACAGAAACGGGCAGCCGCTACCAGACCTCCCAGAACCGCACGGTAAAGATCATGACTTCCTCTAATGGCTGGCAGACACTTACCCAGTTGATGGACTGGAAATGAAAGTGTTTTTTTAATGAGCCGTGGAAACATTTACTTGAACGGGCCAGAGCTGGGGCTGTATGCAGTGCGATTGGACAACACCATTTCTTGTAATTACTTTATGTAAAATGCACCAGCAATGCAGGAGACATGTTTATTTCTTGTTTTCCTTTGAAAGTCACAGACTGGTCCATCACCTTAAACGAACAGTGTAAAGAGGATATGAACCAGAGGCAATGGGCCAGTGAGACTAAAACAAAGCACAAAGCCACGGCGGAGGAGTTTCTTTAATCCCTCTGAGAAGAAAAGACGGAGACAGACAGACAGACAGACAGACAGGCTGAAGAGATAACCTCTTGATAATATCTGAAAGCAGCGCTGAGTTCTTGACATTGATGAAGCGAGATTGATGCCCTTCAAATTCTGGCAGTTTCTCTCCTCCCCTCTGCCTCTGTTCATTTCTCCTGCCACCCCCACCCCCCTCTCTCTGTTATAATACATTGTCTTCAGCCTCGTCTACTCTCATCTCTCCTGTGGCTGCTAGAAAATGTCTGCAAGCTCCGGCTGTATGAAGCAAAAGGACTGATATGAATTTGGTGAAAGATCAAACAAACTGAGATAAGACTCTGGAGGAACCCATTTCTGCTAATGTTGTTTTTTATTTTGCAGTTTTGGGGTTAAAACGAGTCAGCAGGGGAAACCTAACATTTCACCACCTCTTCGTCTTCTTACCACATTTCTTTTTGCTCCAACCTGTTCAACGATGCAGGAAACGCTCTGCCTTCTGTTTTCTGTACCTTTCCTCTCTGTTAGTGAAGCCCATGTAGGCCACAGTCTGCACCTGTTTCCTGTTCATCACTTTTGAATCTTCCTTATTCCTCTCTATATTCAGTATGTACCAGCTTTGCCAGCATGTGCATTTTTGACATTTGCTGCCACCTAGTGGGTCCTTTGATCAGACATCGTTAGTAGATTTATTATGTTATTAACCCCAGGGTAAATTTGATGCATCCAGTAGCCTGTTCTAAATATACAGAAAAACCCCACATATGAATTAATCAAAAAATGAAGCAGAATACACAATTACTACATTCATGATTAACCTATAGATATGTATACATGAATACATATGCATGTATTTACATATGTACATGTATATACACATACACAAGTGTTTGGGGTACCACATATTTACAATACTCTGTTTTTACTGTATGGTAGTACTCTCAGTTGTAGAGAAATTTGTTTAAAGTTAACATGTAAATTGAAAGGCCTAGCATTTCTTGAAGAAATGCACATCACCCACTGCCTTTTGTTCCAGAGTTTTAAACGACAATTATCTCATGATTAAAAAAAGAACAGTTGTGATCAAACCTTGTAAATAATATTATATGCAATTAGAGCTGGACGATATATCGATATTTTAAAAATATTGATTCTTCTTTTTTTTGCGATATAAGTTGAGACTATATCGATATAAAACGATAGTTTTATACTTGGAAATCCTCCTGCTGTCTTCTTTCTCCCACGCGGCCCCCCTCCTCCCTCCTTGAACACCAACACACAGCCCTCAGCCATGCTCCCCTCCTTCCTGCTTCTCCAGGAGGTGGCGGGACGTTTAGCACAACAAGTAAAGACGGGAGAAACACAGCAGCTTAGCTGCTGAACAAAATTGTTTGGATTTAAATTGACAGATGAGGGGCAGAAAGATGATTTCTGTAGACAAATCGAAAGGTCGGAACTACAAAATCTTTTTCACCGTTTAAAACAGTGAAGTATGAGCGTGTGTGATGCTGCAGGTTTGACAGACCTCCTTCCCTGAAACAAACCACAGGTCAGAACTCATTTAGCCGTGCTGTGCCTTATGAGAGGAAGGGTGAGAGATGGCGCTGTGACATTAATAAATCAGCAGCTTATCAGATCGCTAAAGACAAGTCCTTAGTGGCTAACAAGACGGCTAACGCTTTAGCCGTCTTGTTCCACAGCTGAGACGGGACCATGTCTTAGCGATATGATAAGCTGCTGGTTTATTAATGTCGCCACCTCGGACCTTTCCTCTCGGACCTGCAGCTGTAGTTCACACACGCTTACTAACGTGAAGGCGGCACGGCTGAATGGACTGCACTTGTATAGCACCTTTCTATCTTACCAAGATACTCAAAGCTCTTTACAACACAATCTGTGCCTCATTTACCCATTCATACATTCTTCTAGTTCTCTACAAATAATAATCAGAGCTTTGTCATATTCATACACTGATGGGACACACATCGGAGGGGTTCAGTGTCCTGCCCAGGGACACTTCAGCATGTGACAGCTGGTGGAATCGGACCCCCAACTCCTGCATTTAAGGACAACTGCTCTAACCACGCAGCCACAGCTGCCCCAGCTGAAGAGAATTATTATTTAATATATGTAAATAAATGTCTAATAAACAGCTTTAATATATGTAAATAGTTTATTTTTTTTAGACATTTATTTTGTACTAAATGTAATAAATGTGCCTGTCTGACAATTGGGACAAAGCTTTGACTCAAATATATTTTTGTTATTACTTTATGGAAAGAAAAATATTGAGGTATATATCGTATATCGCGATTTATCTTAAAAATATCGAGATATTAATTTTGGTCCATATCGCCCAGCACTATGTGCAATCTCATGTAATATTGCAAGAGCTGTGAGTGCTCAGAGTACGTGTTGGGAATTACTCTTAGCTGCTACTGAAGTAGTTTGTACTACTGACTGGTGTAGTAGTCAGTAGTAAAAACAAATAGTATGACAACTACACCAAATTTTAGTTCAGTAAAATTCAGTGAGTTATAGCTATTATCGTGTGCTAATGTTTATTAGCCGTTACAGTAAATTTGAATTGGGTCGACTGAATTGTTGAGTTGTAGATGTGCATTCAGTAATTACATCCTGCAAGTTTCAGTAAAACTTGTGGGTTAGTGAAATGAATATTTTGCTAACAGACTGCTGTACCCCCCCCCCCCCCCCCCACACACACACACAGACAATGTCAGTCTGCGTTGTGCAGTGCAATACAATAATTCCACTTAACCAAATCAGAAGCTATTGTTTGAAATAAAGAGTCTCCCAAAGAGTTTCTGTCAGAATTCAATCATAGTAAAATGATGATCGGCAGCAAAAGTCACTTTCTAATAATTTTAAGTTATTTTCTGTTTTTAAACAGACCAACTCCCGGTAAAGGAAGTAGTACGAGAAGAAAATCCTAATCTTCAACCTGTGGATGGAAAGAACAATCAGGACGAGCCTCCTCAAATCAAAGGACCAGTCGAACTTCCTGACAGAAAGGAGGAGAAGGTGGTGCAGTTGGACCGCCCTGACACCGGTAAGACTCCTGAAGCTCAACCAGAACTTTACCCAGACTTGGAGCTGCGTAGATTCCACAATCATCTGTCCGTTCAGGTGTCGCACTGCCAGAGGGAGAGGCCCATCGCCACGAACCCCCCATCCCTCACGACGGTGTCATGGTGGACTCCAGAAAAAACGAAGCAGAACTGGAAGAGGAAAAGAAGGAACCCCCTGCTAAAAGTGCTGACGCAGAACCCAACAAAGCCGAGGAGCAAGAACCCGCACTGAAGATGGAAGACGGGAAAGGCGACAAGGTTGAGGAGAAACACGCAGAGGCTGCTGTCCGAAACGAGCAGGAGAAACCGGGCGGCCACGTCGTGTCAAACGAGGTGCTGGAGAAAGCTGTCGCAGAGGAGGACAAAAAGGAGGACAGCGCTCCGCTGAAGGAGGTGGAAAAGCTCAGTGGTGGTAAAGATGCAGAAAACGCAGCTGTCGTAGTCATTCAGGCTGCAGGAGCACAAGTCAATGAAGCAGTGAAGTCTGCAGAAAAAGGTGATCACCCGTGCTTTAGAGAACAATAAAGAAGGAAATTTAAAGACAAATGTAACATTTAAATTGTTTTAGCAGCACTTCCTGAGGGAGAGCATCATCCTGCTGAAAGAGCTGCAGACAGCAAAGACACAGCAGATGAAAAGATGGAGGGTGAGTTAACTTTGATTTTAATTAACAGTTTTAATACAGTCAGCTATAAATTATTGCTTTCTGTTGAAACTGAATCTTATCCACATCTAAAACTCATTTTACAACATGTAAAAACCTAAACGAAGTTTGATAGTCATTCCTGATTGATCAGCTAAAAACTTTGTTCCTGTATTTTAGCTCTTGTTTAGCGTTGGTGGTGGATGCTGCTTTCTTTTTTTTTTTCTGATTTCTTATTGCTGCTTATATCTTCTAACCTCATAGTGCTTATTATAGCTTTTTTTTTTTTTTTTAAGGTTTATGCTCTTTCTGATGTTTCAGCTTGTTGGCCTGTTCACTTTCATATTCTGTGGTTTTCTTTTGCTCTGTTTCTTTCTTCATCTTTCTCTGCTGGACTCAAATTACAGTGATAAAAAAGCTGGTCGCAGGTACGAATTTCTTGCCTTTTCTTCTCCTTATTGCCGTCTGTCACTCAAACGTTTTACTTACTCATGTAGCAGCGTTTTTATTTTAAACTGCCTAAAACTGTAGTGCACTTGTAAACAATGGAACACTCGATCATATGCTAATAAAAAAACTTATACATTGTGGCCGCTAACATAGTTTGTGTTTCTGCAGCTGTTCGTTCCAGTCAAAAACTTCCGTTTAAAGATTGGTGTTCAATGGATCCATAACGGCGCTGCTTCCTGCTTGTTTTAAAGCCAACGCTTTTGTCTCTGCAGAGGGCCAGCTCGACCACGCCGTGCTGCTGCAGGTGATCAAGGAGCAACAGGTGCAACAGAAGAGACTTCTTGACCAGCAGGAGAAGTTACTGGCAGTCATTGAAGAGCAACACAAGGAAATCCACCAGAAACAACCTGCCGGTGAGGATAAAAACCACACGAGGCTGATCGTCCCTCATTCTAAAGTGTTTTATTTTATATTCTAATTTACATGTTTTAGAAAGGAGTTGGCGTAATTTTAAACTAAAATTATTAATCATGGCCGTACCCTCTGCCTGGAGCAGTTTCAGGATAATTTTGTTCTTATAGTTTTACCTTTAAACTGTGCTTGGTTTTATAAGTACTATATTTTCCACTGTACACGTCGCACCGCCCTATAAATCGGATCAGTCCAAATATGTTTAATAAAGTGGAAAAATCCACAAATACGCTGCTTCGCCGTATACGTCACATCTATTATACGTCACCGATGACAACCTGGAAATGTGGGCTGGTGTTGTGCCAAAAATCGATGGGCTGCCAAATGTTGGACGTGGGAGCATGCACGGGAGAACTTTTAACAAAAATTTAACGATATTAACACTTAAAAACAATTATTTGTTTGCTCGTAATTAAAGTAAAGGTGTGTCTCAGTTGAACTTTTCACTTTGACGGTCAAGTCAGCCGTTTCTCAAAAGCCGGTACGTGGAAGTAAGAACGCGTAGAGGGACAAGTTGCTGTGTGTTTCTTGGAAATTTAACAATATTAACACTTAAAAACAATTATTTTTTTGCTCAAGTTTGTAGTAAAGGTGTGTCTCAGTCTAATGTTTACTTAATAAAAGGACTTTAATGGTCAAATCAGCTGCATTTCAAAAGTATTCGCTGCCTCGGTGCTCCGAGAGCACGCAGACAGGGAGAAAATCAAGGAGGAACGCTGCACATTTCTTCAAAATTTAACAAGATAAACACCTAAAACAATTTTTATTTGCTCGACATTATAGTAAAGGTGTGTCTCCGTTGAACTTTTACTTAATAAATGCACTTTAATAGTCAAATTAGCTGCATTTCACAGGGGCGTCGTGGCCATTTGGACCTTCTTATTTAAAAAAACCCATTTGATTACTTGTTAATCACGTCAGTCATTTCCCAGTCGATTTGTTTGTTGACATGAGGTAAGGAAGCTGCCTGGTAGTGAACTCTTGTGTTTGCTTCATCACTGTAGGTTGAGTCCACAAATCGCAGACCACAGTTCAGATCCGGATCTCTTGTTTAATTTCACTAGAAAAAATGTTTTAATTTGCACACGCTTTGTAGCATTTAGGGTAATTAATATGAAGCAACACAGATTTTCTAGCATTTACTTTAATTCCTGCCCGCAGGCCGGCAGATTTTGTTTTTCAAGCTCAATAAATCAAACCATGACTGTTGAGATGAGAAGAAAACTGGAGGTTTTTACCCACTCTGTGTTTATTCTTCCTGTGGACATTTAAAAACCTATTTTCCACATTTCAGAATAAAAAAAAAAAAGTTTTTAAATCTGCAATGATACTCTAAATTTAAACACAAAATTATTTAAACGATCACATCAAATGTAACCTGCAGTCACAGAAAACGAACCTAGTTTGACAGATCCACTCACTGACTGGTCAACAAATCTTGGTAACGTCAATTGATCGTCAGTTCTCGTGGCTCAATGAGACTAACCTGGATAAATAAAGGCTAAATGAAAAAAAATTGATATACATGTTTTTTTTTTTTTTTATTCTTGTCGCCTGAGAGTTGACAAACATCCAGAGTACACGACTGCAGAGGTTTTAAAATCATTTCTAATAATATAAAACATGCCAAAATTTATATTATATTATATTATGTTTAATAAATATTATCCATTCATACACACGTTTTTTTACCCGTTTATTTATTCATTATTTGTTTGATTTTACGTGTGTGTGAGCATATTTATGTATGTACATGTATGTGCGTACAGATTTCTTTAGGTGCACCTCACTGAATATTAATTGAACCTCTTTTGTAGGCCAAACATTATACAATTATTTAATTAAAAGTTTGGGAAATTGCCTTAAAATGACGAGTTGAGAGAAACCTCCTTCCTAATAATCGGAACGTGCAGAGTGCACATACTGTCATAATGTCCTGTTCTGAATCACATGTGATGTTTTATTACTTCTAGGAGCTGGGGAGGTCGAGGCGGAGAAAAGCGTCCAGGAGGGTGGAGCGGTGCAGCCCAACGAGTCTGAGCTGGCACCAGAGCTGAGAGGAGCAGGAGCTCCACAGGCTGCAGGAGACGAGGCTCACGCTGCGCCTCAGGATCAGGCTCCAGCTGGGGCTGAAGTTGGCGGCGCTAAAGCAGACGCTGCAGCGGCTTACAAGGAGGATGACAACGCTGCACCTGGAGGAGAGTCTCAAAAGCAGAGCGAGCTAGGAGCAAGAGGAGTGCCACTAGGAAACAAAAAACCTGATGACCATCCACATGTGGCTCCAAACGATCAGGCCGAACAAGTGAAAGTTGAGGAGAAAGGTGTAGCTAAAGAAAAAGAGACCGGTGACAATCGTAAAAAACATCTCAAGGAAGAAGATGAGTCCAGACGAGAGAAGGAAAGGCTCGACGTGGAGGTAAAGGACAGTATGGCCAAAGAACAGCAGCTGGAAAAGGACAAACTAGAGAGAGAGCTGGAAAGAGAGAGAGAGGAAAAGCTGGCACTACGACAGCAGTTAGAGAGGGAAGAAAAGGAGAGGATAGAAAAAGAAGTTCTGGTAAGGGTGGAAAAGGAGCGACTGGAGAGGGAGAGAAGAGAGGAGCAGGAGAAAGCGAAGCTCGTACAGGAGCTTCAGCAAGCAGAGGGTAAAATAAATGAGAGGGCAAATCAAGTGCTGCAGGTGGAGACTCAGGAGAGGCTGGCTGTGCTGCAGAGGGCCGTAGAGGCAAAAATCACAAAAGAAGCTGAACAGGGGGGAGAGGGAAAAGAGGGCAAGGCTTTGAAAAACGGAGGACGAGACCTCAAAGAACAAGCTGCTGCTCAGGCAGACCCCGGAGAAGCTCTAGAAGATTACAGGGCCATCAAAGCCGAGCCCCGCCCCCAGAGCTCCAACGAGAAAGCAAGGGAGCAGGGAGACACTGATCTGAAGAGGAGACGGAGGGAACTGGGACCTAGAGAGGCCGCGTGGCCCCTGAAGGACTCCGCAGAGTCCAGAGGGGTTCCAGGGCTGGAGCCTCTGCTGGAGCTGGGGGGCTCAGACCTGCACGCTGCCCTGGAGCAGCAGCTGCTGGCCGGGGCGGTGGTGCACTCCAGGCAGATGAAACAGGCCGCAGGAGATGATGATGGAACAAAGTAACACACGCACATGTTATTTCATGGCCTGAATAGTCCACGTGCAGAACCTCCTCAGAGTGGACCCTGCTGCCTTACAGTCCTTCTGAAAGGACCGGGACCAGACTTTTGTTTCTTTATTCTCCAAACAAAACCCATATTATTCACCAAAGTATGTAAATATTAACTTATTTTAGTCTTTAAAGAGGAAAACTTGTGAGAGGTCACTGTGTGAATGTAAATACATCTATGCAAATCGGGTTTGGACTGGAAGAAGTGGATTTTATGTTTTTGTCAGTTGAATTTCCTTTTTACAGAGCAGCTCGTGGAGTTTGAGCTTTATTTTGTCTTGCGTGTAAAACTTGTGGTTTTCAGATGTAATTTTTTTTTATTGTGTTTCTGACCTCAAACATACTGTGGGTCAAAGCTCTTCTGTAACTGTTGTATATATTCAGTCCAGGGAACAGTTGTAGCTCAGTCTGTGAGTACATAATGTAGCCATACAGCCTTTTGGAATAATGAGGATTTACTAAAACATTCCACTTTTATCTTTACACTGCTGATTTCTTAGTGCCTCTCTGTCTACATGCTGCAGAACACGTTTAAACTAAACATGCCAGTTTTGATTTCTTACTTGGTGGTTTTCACTTGTTCAGACGTTTATTAAAACAAGATGGACTGGAAACGCTGGGCTGTATTTGTCGGTCTTCATGATCAAAGTCCTTTGGAGATTCCAGCACCTCAAAGTCCAGGACCGTAGCTTTGTACAAGAGTATTTTTGTACGTGTATTCAGACGTTTTACTGGTAAGAATCAATTAAAAAAATCCACAAGAACAGTCGAGTTAGTCTGTTTAAATATTTGATATGAAACTTGTCTTTATTGCAGATCTGTTTTTTGTATTCATTTGGCTCTCTTCTTGGCCTGTAAAATAAATGAGAAATTATTATGAATCAAAACGGTAGGTTTTATTTAAAACGCACGTGAACTCTGACTTACTGCGTTGGTAAAGCAGGTCTTCAGTGCCTGGAACTCTTGGGCACACAGGTCCTTCTTCAGCTCCTGTTTGCTTTTGGTTGTTGCTGCTACACACTTTCCATACGCTGCTGCCTAAAGCACAAAACACAACAATGCTGGAAACTGATTTTGTGCGCTTAATAATTGTGACTGTTGTGCATTTTTATATTACAATGTAGTTGTTTTAAGAGCGCTGCTGGGGTCCATTGTGCCCACTTTTCCCAAGTTTAGGTCAGAATGGCTTTCCTGAAATGTGCCACTGAACTGTAAGTGGGATATTTATGTGAATGTTATCTGAAGCTCAACAGATTGGTTAAAAAAAAAAAAAAAAGTAAAAATGTTGAGGGATCCCAATAAAATAGTTTGTAACTAAAGCAGGGGTGTCCAAACATTTTCATATGTGGGCCAAAACCTTAAAGATGAAAGGAGTTGTGAGCCAAATAAAATGTGAAATAAAGAAATAAATATTAAAAAGCATATATAATTTTAGTGTTTTTTTTAACAGTATAAACAATATTTTGGATAAAGGGCAAAATTGATTAATTTTGGTGGACGTGTTCTAAATTATTGTAGATTAAAAACATTAAAAGCTTCATAAACAGTAACATTTTCTTTATATTTTAATTCATTTGATTTATTGTCAAAATATTGTATTGAACTTCAAAATTAATTTTTAGATTTTTTTTTTAATACACTGTTGTTAAAACCTAAAAAAAATATATACAAAAATTATCATTAAATTGGCAAAAGGTCTACATCAATCTCTTAAGCCTATGGGTCAAAATTATACCATCTTTAAACTGCAGTTGTGGGCCACATAAAATCACTCCAAGGGCCATAAATGGCCCCCAGGCCACACTTTGGACAACCCTGGACTAAACCCATTAAATTTTATATTTTGTATTTCTGTGAAAACTGAAATGGTAAAGAATTCAAGATTAACAGTTTGAGATGTTTAGTTACCATTATGGGCCACAAAAGAGGTCTTTACCATTTATTTCATGTATTCATTCACAATTCTCTGCTTACTGAAATATTTTTCTTAGTCATAAATATACAATTGTGTTTATTAATTCAAATATTAGTTTGAGAAATTAGGTCAAATTGATAAAGAAATACATATTTTCAAACGCAATGTTAAAAATAAAATAAATTCAAATGTTTCAGTAAAATTGCTGTAAGATCCAGTCAGTTTAGTTGAGGTTTTAACTGTTAGCCGGACTAATGAAACATAAAGCAGTCTTTCTTCAGACCTTGCTCTGAACGCTTACCTCTTCTGCACATTGTGCAAACAGTCCAGAGAAGAGTCTCATCCTCTCCCGGCTGCGACTCCACACATTTGACCCCGACATTATGATCACCATACATTAACACAAGCCCGCTTTGTGATCGACATTAACAATAGACAAAAAAAAAGTAATTTCAAAACCCAGTGCTGCTCGTTGTTTTGGTAAACGCATCAACAACCCTAAAACGATGTAAAAGACATATACTTTTTATACAGGAGGTACGGTATTCTTGTAAACCACGGACAGCGCCATATTGATGACTCGGTCACCACGAAAACGTTCCTGCAGGATATACTCAAATGTGATTGGCTCGCATACCTGTCAATAAAAGTAGGTCTCGAAGGTGGACCGGCATTCTGAAATCTGATTAGCTGTTAGCCGTGAGCTAAACACCAATAGATTTCCACAAATACTACTTGCTGCTTTCTGATTGGCTACATGTCAACGTAGGCCCCGCCCTCAACTATTACAGGAAAATGAGTTACCCGCAGCTTGGACTGCTAAATCATGGCAACATTTATGGAACGATTAGCTTTTCTTCAGAAAGTAAGTTCAATTTACAGGCAGTGCTTTGCGGCAAAACAAAAAATACCAAAAGAGGAATTGGAGAAGTAGAGCGTTATGTTGACCTGTCTTTTTTAGTTTATGTTCGAAGCTTGCTACTATTAGCCTGCTAGCTAACAACATTCATACTACCGGTAGTCGTGTTATCCTGATGTCAGGTTTATTAAAGTTACAAGTATTTTGTTGAAACTTTATAATGCCTACAAATAGGGAATCTCTTTGTACATGTATCTCAATATTTATTCCAACAATGTAAGGTTCCCACCCTCATGAAGGCGACAGCAGATGATGAAACGCCCTGTCCTGGCTACCTTTTCCAGGAGATTGGAAGTATCCTTGGTTGGTGTTGGTTGGTGTTTCACCTGATATCTTCTGGACTTTCTCGAATTCTTCAGTGCTATCACTACAGAGATATCTGACATACCTTTTGATAACCTGATATGTCTGATTTGTCTGAGCAGCTTGTCTAATGCTACATTAATCCAGTGATGCTTTGTCTGTCCATTAAAGTGATCGTAACAGTTTACTCTTGATTTTGTTTTTTTGTTCAGTTTCACATTTATTGAAAGGCACTAAAGTGGCAATTTAGACATTACACGGTCACATTAATTTGTCATTATGCTTTGAATTATTATGCCTTTAACCATAAACACCCTTCAGAGATCTGCCAGGAGTCATCCGGTTGTGGTCAGTGTTTGTTGGAGTACCTTTTAGAGAGGCTACAAGTTGAATCCTGTCATGTCAAACTGAAGGTAAAAGCAACACATCAGGAGCACAATCTTTCTGCTTTTGTTCTGGTCTGAGGGTCTGTAAGGATTCTTATCTCCTGTGAGTCAGGTGCTGAAGATCTTTGTCCATCTCTGTGGCCATGGGTCAAATCATTTCCTTACAGAGCTCAGAAGGAATTCCACCTTCATCCAGCAAGCATCGAGTGAGACACTACGTTCATCTCCATCTCCTTCTTATTACTTTGTGACTGAATGGTGACTTTTCTATTACTGTGGTTTGCCCTCAGTTTACAGTGGCCCACCTGATCCCATCCATGGCACAGCACTTTACCAGAAAGTGAGGAAAACTGCACAGGTAAGGTGAAGGGAGAAACTTATCAACACCAGAATTGTCATCTCTGTTTGATAGGCTTGTATACTAATTATCATTTCAGTGACAGCTTAGCTTTATTACAATATTTATTTACAGGAAGTGGCTCGGTTACTTTTCTCAGATGTGGTTCTCACCAAAAGCAGTATGACTTCACACAGCATAGCTCCTCCAACGATGGGTGAGTAAGTGTTTGGTGAATGATGTGTTCAGCAATGTCTTATTTATCTTTTAAAGCTTTTCCGTTAAAAGCAATGTTGCCCAAAATATAAACATGTACAAGGCAATCTGTTTGTTTCTGTCCAGGCATGGGATCAACAAGTTCCCACAGGCCAGGGTTGCAGGGCTTTGGACACAGTTCAGTGAAGCAGGGGACAGGTGAGTGTCGCACGACACAACCATAAGTTTAATTGTTCTGTGTGTGAATTTCTTTACTGAAACATCTTTACCTGGATCTCACAGCAGGCAGTGACTCATTGTTAGACAAGATCCAAAAAGCTGCTGAGGTAGTTGCCAGCGCTGTTCTACCCCCAATGGAGCAACAGGGCATCCGTCTCCATGACAACTATTACTGCGCAGTTGTGGCACCATCTGCACCCATAGAGGTTGCTGTACCTGCATGTGCCTATAACACGCCTGCTAGAAGAGCTGAAGGTCAGACATTTATGTTATCATGGAAAACCTGGGGTTTCTGATTAGATTAAATCCTGGATTTACAATTAAAAGTAAATGTTTGGGAAATGGTATTTATTGGGTAATTTTTAAGTGAGAACACATTATACACCCCCAGCAGCAAAATTATGTTATTTATCATGTGCCTTCACCATAGAATATGTGATGATCCTGTCAAGAAATCTTGTCTAGATCTGAATTTTTGGGATTTACTCCTCAATCTTTTAAAGCTACTGTTTATATAAAATATTTTTAAAGCTGCTAGATGCAGTACAAGAAAATGACACATGGTCAGATTTCAGTCATGTTATATTCAGAAACAACACTGAGTTGCTTTAGAGTTGCTAATGATGACTTTATGAATGGAGATCAGGATAAAACTTTCTTTTTAGTTTTTCAGACTTGCCTGCTGCTCTTGACCCTGTTGATCAGCTCATTATGGATCAATTACGCTGCAGAGAAAGGGCTGGAAGCTCTGATTTTGCTTTGTATCGGTCTAAGTAAGAATTTTATGTTGCTACTAGGGGTGCACCGATTGCAGTTTTCTGGACGATCACAGATCGCCGATCTCTAAAATGTCTGACCTGCCAGTTTCAATTTTGACCGATACCGATTTTGTTTTATAAGCGACACTGTCAGGTGTTATAAGGTCACAATGCACCTTCAATGTTCCAATCTTATTTTATTGAAAAACATACCCTTGAACAATATTCTAGAAACAATACACACTTGTTTTAACTGGCCATGAGGTAGTGCTCTGAAATATAAATGAAGTCAAGACAATTGTTAAAACAAACAAAAAAAATAGGTACAATCGGTTTCTCATGCAAGTATCGTCTGATTTCCCAAAATTAAGGAAATTGGGGCTGATAAATCGGTGCACCCCTAGTTGCTACTGATGATGGTACTTCTATTTTAGAATTTTTGGCCTTCGGGGTGCCTCAAGGTTCTATACTTGGACCTGGTTTGTTTTACTTAGATGTGGTCTCTTTGGGACACCTGATACAGAATTTTAGTTGTTTTATTATCGTTACGCTGATATATTCACCATAACAATTCTGACTTCTTGATCCGTGATCTATAACTCTCTAACCAGTGGTCTATTGAATGTAGCGGTTTTGCATAATATCTTGGTTAAAAAAAATTGCAACTCGTGATGATCCAATAAAAAAATTTGGTGTAATTGACAGCAAACTTGAATTTCATGAACATGTTATAAACATGTATGTTTAGTCCAGATATTTTCACCTATGAAATCATGCCGAGATGGTGTAGAGGCAGGGCCGCCGACTCGGGACCCGAAATTATTATTATTATTATTATTATTATTATAGCAACATCTTCAAGAATAAACTGCACTTTCTATTATCCTATGGTTTTGTCTCCTGTTTGCATTAAAGGTATTTAATTGTTTTTGTATGTGCGAGTGCATTTGTCTGTTAGCAAAATATCGCATGAAGTTCTCAGAAACTAATCCTTGATTACCCATTTACAATTACCGTAACTTTTAGTGCCATCCCCGTTAAAGATGGATGCTACAATAAATCAATTAAAAAAAGTTAGCTTCTTCTTAGTCATATTTATACAAATAGAGGTAAAATTTGTTGTGGTAGTAGTCGAGCATCATCCCCAACACATAATTTTTGGACCAACAATTTGTGCAAGATATTAGTTTTAAACTTTGGCATGTAAGGTGGTGTTCAAAATGCATTTCTTCAAAACGTTCAACTTTCATTTCATTAGGTTAATAAAAAAAATAACAAAAAAAAAGAATTAAAAAAAATATATATCATTTTGTAAATGAGTCCTTGTGGCTCAATGGGACTAACCTGTTTAAATAAAGGTTGAATGAATCTATCTCTCATGCCAAAATGTGTTTACTTTTTACAGTGACCCAACGATGCCCAGGGCAGGTAGGGGGTGGCTGGGAGGAGACTGACAGCAACAACAGCTCCTCTCACAACTCTTCTCAAGAAATTGCATCCAACAGCAGAACATCTGTGGGCAGCAAGTCGGCTGGTACAAGGAGCCAATCAGGAGCCAGCAGAGAGAGTAATGGGGACCTCTCTGAACGGTCAGTGGAGATACACAGTACAGTAGTCCCTCGCTACTTCGCGGTTCATTTATTGCGGACTCCCTCTATCACGGTTTTTCAAAATAAGATTAGACATGACACACAATTGGCTGATTGATGGATGAACCTCACGACTGGCATGGAATTTTTATTAAAAATATTTTACTTTTTTTAGCACCTCCTGCACCTTTGTGCAGCTCTTACTGCTGCAGGATAAACTTCCTGCTGCAGCTGATCAGCTGTTCTCCACACTTATATATATATATATATATCTTAAGGCTTTATAAACCTTTCCCACACTCTTGCGATGTTCCAAACTCTTAAACCTACATAATTTGAACAACGTACGTATATGTACTGTACAGTACTGCAAAATTGTATATGGGTATACACCAGCTCTGCAGACCAGCAGCTTGGTTCTGGTTGGTCTCGGTTCTGATTCTGCAGACCTACCCTGCAGCGACAAAACCCACTGCCCCGTCCAGGTTGATGTGTGCGTGGATAATTGAGCTTCAGGATTATTTGCGATTTCCTGCCAGTTCTGTGAGCTTAATAGATCGATCGTTACTTCTGAGTTTGCGTTGCAAAACTTTCCCTCCATTTCAGCAGAAAGCAGCGGCTGGAAACACTGTTGGCTTCTGGGTAGTGTAGTTCTTTTGACCTGTATTACAGTATAGGCTAATGGAAAGAAAACTACAAAATGGCTGCACCTGTCCAAAGTATAGTTTTTTGTTTAACTTTTTATCCCGTACCGTCCCAGTCACTTGAGTAAGATTAAAAGTGACAATCGTGTGTCGTGTACGATCTTACATTGAAAAACCGCAAAAGAGCGAGTCCATGAAAGTCGAACCGCAAAGTAGCAATGGACTACTGTATTTACTAAAAGTGCTGATGTTATTCTGAAGATGATATTCAAATGACGTTATTAATTGCGGTGTAGACATGTACACACAGTTCATTATATATTTATCTCTGAAACTCTGAGCAATATTCAGGTTTACTTCACCACTCATTAGTAAGACGTGTGAGCTGGTAGTCTCTGTTGTTGCTGTTCTGCAGGACAGAAGCCTTGCAGCTGGGTGACTGTGGACAGGAGACAGCTCTCATTAATAAACTGACAGAGGGCTCCAGAGTTTTCCTGACCAGAGAGGAGAGTCAACACTTCCTCAAAGAGTCAGTATATCTCCCTCTCGTCTCTGTGTTTTGAAAACTGCAGCTCAATTTGTGCTCTAACGAACCTTCCAGGTGCTTCCTTCTTAACTGTGAGGTTGTGGTGGAGTTGCTCTCCAACAAGCTTCAAGATCCTTTGTACGCTGTTCAAATGGTAACGATAAAGATGCTTTGCTGATCAGCTTTTCTTTATGATTTGGGTTTTTCCTGTTATAATGTTGCTGTACTCTCAACTTACAGCGGGCTCTGTGTGCTGTTTCATGCCTCATGACCTCTGACCTTCTCTCCTTGGAACAAATATTCGGCGCTACGCAACGCAGACTCCGTCAGCTGAGCGAAGGGCCTCCGGGGCCCGTGACCAACAAAGCTACCAAGGTAAGAGACAAAGTGAGAGAAAGCCGAGGACCAATAGGATGAGACTGCTCCAGATGAGGTAGCATTTGTGCGCTTATCTCGTTCGAACAGATCCTTCGACAGTTTGAGGCTCTCATGGGTGGATCTCAACAAGCTGCCAGGCAGGATACAGTGAACAACAGTCACCAGGCAACAACTAATCAACATTATCAGTCTGAGCCCTCTTCTGCAGATGTCCAAACATCTAATCAGCCGGCTTCTTCTGATCTGGACCAGGTGTGGAGATGTTCCACAGAGGAGCTGATAACTGCTCCTGAGGGGGACAAACTCACCATCACTCAACGAGAATCTGTAGAAAATCCAGCAGAGCTAGTCAGACCTGCTGATGTAAAATCCCCCTCTGCAGATCCAGAGCTCATCAGAGACCGAAGTGGCTCCTGGTCACCTGAACCTGAGAGTGTGTCGTCCAGTCAGAGCAGACCGTCTCTGTTCAGAGGAATGGAGCTGATCACCAAGGGGAGAACGGTGTGCGAGAGTGATACACCACATACTGAGTGGGATAAGACGGACAGGTTAGGTGGGACTGAAACTGTTCAGATCTCGGACTCAGCTCAAACCAGTGAGGAAGTCTCCTCCAGTTGTGATGTTTTTGCATCTGATAAAACACAGACAGCATCTGCTTTCTCATTTCTCAACTTTTGACCACCAACCCTGTTTGTAGGCCTGGGACAGTTTGTAACAACGATGTCATCATGCGTTTTAAATTTTAATAACTCTTAAGATTTGATTTTCTGATCTGCGAAATTGTAACTGCAATATATGATTAGAATATAGGAATTTTTATGTAGGTCTCGTCAAAATCCGTTATCAAGAAGCAAACTGAGCCACGAGCCAATCATTTGAAATTGATCTTTCTTTTAATAAGTGTACAACCTGTTTGAGGGCCCACAAATCTGTCACGCCAAGGAAAGTGAAGATCTCTTCATTGGGTCCATTTAAAAAAATATTTCCACAAATGTGATTGTTAAAAAAAAGAGGCTAAAGCTCCTTCGTTGCACTAGAGGAGTAAATACAGAAACGGTGAAGCTTTATAAGAGTTTTTAAAGCTCCTTGACCAACACTGATGTGTAATAAAACATCTTATAATATTAGGAATGATAGAGCAACAATGGTCTGAACACAGTGGGTAAAATAATTATTTGATTTCCTGCTGATTTTGTATGTTTGCCCAGAAATAATCATGGTTTTTATGGTTATTTATTTAAAGGAAAGAAAAATAATATCTACAAAAAATCCAGAATAAAAGCATTACATAAAACAAAAGATGATTTGCAAACCTTTAAAAGACGTACAATTTGATATCTTACAACCGATGCATAAGTCTGTCTCCCACAGAGCAAAGAGATGACAATCAGTCACTCCACCACCACGGGCAAGTCCAAAGAGCTGTCACAGGATGCCAGATCTGCAGAACTGGAATTTGGGGCCCCGTCTCAGGGTTCCATATACAGTATTTTTCAGGTTATAAGGCGCATTAATCGAAATAAGTTCGTTTTGACAGATTTTTGAGCGCCATGTGCCACATAAAATCAGTTTGAGGTCAGTAAGCACAACCAGAATTAATAATCCATAAGGCTCACTGTTGATTTTTGATAAAATTCAAGGATTTTAAGTGCGCCTTATAGTCCAAAAACATATGGTAGTCCACATTTATATTTGCGGGAAAACTTAAACCAGACTTGTACAAGTGCCTGTACGAGTAGAACTTGCTGGAAGATTTCAGTTCATCACGACGTTGTGCGTTACTAATAGCGTTCTTGGTCTCTGCTGCCTTCAGATTTTAAGGAGCTCCTCTGAAGTGTGGGTCTGATTCGTCATCTTTCTTATAACACCTCATGAGGAAAGTTTGTGCATGAAGCTCAGGCTGATGGTCAGATGTTTCCATTCTTTCTATTGGCACCAACAGTTGTGACCTTCTCACCAAGCTTCTTTCTTGATGCTCTTGTGGACCATTCCAGTCTTGTGCAGACCTATTCGACATCCTTTGGCAGCTCTGGAGAGGTTGGAGTGGACGATCAGTGGACAGGAGTGGGATAACAACGTTGATGTGGAGTGTCTGTAAACTCATTAACAGTCTGCAGGAGCCAGGATGTGAGGGACCACATATGTTCTGGCCCCAGAAGGTTATTAATCAAGTTTTAACTTGTATGCAATGTTTTTTTCTGGATGTTTATTTAATCTCCTGTTTATCTTCTTTAAAATTAAACCACCATAAAAATCTGAGGGTTCAAAAATAAGCAGGGGATTTAAAAAAAAAAGTATTTTCCCCACTGTGCTTTGGCAGCTTGTCTAGTTGTTGGTATATCTGTAAAATTTTAAAAATTCACATTGGAAACCTTACAAAAATATAAATATAATTATTTTACAATCTTATTTTTTCCTATAAATAAATCTTGAAGATGCTGGGGTGGCAACCGTTTAAGTTTCACTTTTGGCTTTGGCTCGGTTTGTTTTGGACAGAAAATCTGCAGCTCGTGTTTAAAAGTGCGTTTTCTGATTCAGGGCTGATTTTAAAACCATCGTTCTCTTAACAACACTTTTAAAATGTCTTAATGTTAACAATCTAGACTAGGGTAAAGAAACACAATTAAGCTGCTATTTAAAGTTAACTTGGTTAAATTAATGTGGAATGACGCCCAAATCGACCAGTTACTAAAAATAAGTGCAAGTTTTCCTTTTAAAATGTTTTTCAACCCAGAATCTTGAAACTCACTTGGAATCTGCTGCTTCACAAAACCTGAAAATAAAATGAGATTAAGCCACTTCAGCACTTTAGAGTCCAGGAATGTTTTTACCTCCTGTGTGATCATGGTTTGCACGGTTTCATTGAGCTCATGTATAATCAAAAATATGAAGTGTTCAGATTGAAATTTGGATAATTAGTGATAAAACCTTAGCTTGCATATGATTTTATAAATCATTCTTGGCAATTAAAAAAAAAAGAAATTGTAATCTTTGCTGTAGGTGTGGATTGTTTAATAAAATAAAATAAAACAAAAGACATTGACCTTGGGGGAGAACGAGTCATCACCTCGTGACTCGTAGTTTCCAGTCTTCATGAGTGTGTTTGAACACACCACAGCTGTCCTGAAAGTTCAGCTTCACCCGTTTCTATTTTCAAATAGGAATATACAATTGTCAAGTTTGCTTTCCAGTTGATGAAATATTTGCTGAAGATGTAATGTTTTAGCTTCACAAGTACTGAAGTGTTTTTTTTTTTATCTCAGGATTGTGTTTAGTAACGACTCACTCCTCTACAGTAAGTTCTGAACCTCCGAGAAACTTCCTGTTTGTAATTTGCACTACAGATGCTTTTCTTAGGAACTTAAACCTATGAATGAAAGTTGTCTTCCATATATTTTTTGTACTAAGCTATTATGTTTGTGTAAATTTAACGTAAGCCTTTAATATATTGTGTATAAATATATACGAGGTTGTAGAATGCATGATTTAAAACCAGGACGGTGTTTGTTATTATGTTCACGTGTTCGATATCTAAAAGAACATTGCTGTCACTGTTTAACTCTTTTTACTGCAGTATTTACCAAAACTGCAGTAAAACTGTCCACAACAAATACCAGAAGTCATGTTAGACAATAAAACAGGCTGTATTTTTGTTACAGCAACAACCGATGGATAAATCTCTATTTGTTGTATAGTCTCGTGTTGTTTTTGTGGTTTCATGCAATAGATAGATAGATATAGATTTATATTTTATTGATCTCGAAGGAAATTATGTGTCAGTCTAGCTCCCATTCATACAAACAATAAGATAAATACACATCAGATAAAAAATGTAGTATTAAAAAAAACACTAAAAGAGGCCAACCTTCTGAGAAAGCACATTCTGCTCCACACCTTCTTGTACACAGCATCCATATTTGTAGTCCAGTTCAGCCTGTAGTCCAGCTGTAGCCCAATATACTTAAAGGTTGACACCACCTCAGCCTCCGATCCATCGATGATGATGGCCTTGTAGAAGGGGTGGTGCTCTGCAGAAATCCAGCACCACCTCTTTGGTTTTAGTGGCATTCAGCAAAAGCTGGTTCTGATGGGACCACCCAACAAAAAAGTCCTTCACCAGGCCCCTGTACTCCCCCTCCTCACCCCCACTAATACATGCCACAACTGCAGTGTCATCAGAGACCCTCTGCATGTGGGTGTACGAGTTGTTTTGAAAGTCAGTGGTGTAGAGAGTGAAGATGAGGGGTGAAAGCACTGCACCCTGAGGTGCTCCTGTGCTGCTGCATGGTCAGTGTTGAGGACCTACACCCTCCAACTTGGACAAACTGGGGCCTGTTGGTCACATGGTGGTGGTTCCAAAAGTTGAGGTTGAGGCACCCACAGTGGGTCATGAAATACTTAGATAATCTCCATTTTACTGTAATTTTTATTTAAAAAAATCATAAACACAAAACTGATTTTTGTAGTTTCAACTGTTTGGGTTATTGTGTTCTTTGATATAGTTCTTAGCAAAGTTAGTATATTTAAACTGGGCTAGCAAACATAACACAGCTCAGTAATAACAGTGTACAGAAAGTATCACAGCGCTCCACTTTCCTCAAAATTCTACACACACCCCACTATGACAATGTGACAAAATATTTTTTGGGGATTTTTGCTAATTAAGAATAGGAAACTAAGAAATCCCATTTACGTAAGTATTCACAGCCTTTGCCATGTTCTGATGAGACAAAGATTGAGCTCTTTGGTGTGAACGCCAGGCGTCATGTTTGGAGGAAACCAGGCACCACTCATCACCGAATCAATACCATCCCTACAGTGACGCATGGTGGTGGCAGCATCATGCTATGGGATGTTTTTCAGCAGCAGGAACTAGTCAGAATAGAGGAAAGATGAATGCAGCAATGTACAGAGACATCCTGGATGAAAACCTGCTCCAGAGCACTCTTGACCTCAGACGGGCGACGGTTCATTTTTCAGCAGGACGACCCAAAGCACATGCAAGATGTCCTGGAGGGGCACAGCCAGAGTCCAGGCTTGAATCTGGTTGAACATCTCTGGAGACATTTGAAAAAGAAGTACTGCAAAGAAGAATGGGACAAACTTCCTACAGACAGGTGTGCTCAGCTTGAAGCATCATAAAGACTTGAGGCTGTAATTGCTGCCAAAGGTGGATCAACAAAGTATTAAGCAAAATCTGTGAATACTATGTGATTTCTTAGTTTTCTATTTTTTTTTTATATAAATTTACAAAAATCTAAATATTTTTCCAATCATAGTGGGTTATTGTATTAAGATTTTTTTAGGAAATAGATTAATACAAGTTGGATTAAGGCTGTAACAAGAAAATGTGGAAAAAGTGAACCACTGTGAATACTTTCTGGATAAACTGTACGTACCTGGTATTTAGAGGGAATTACCTAGAACATCCAGGACTGATCAATGTATTACGATAGGTGGGGTTACTATCACTACTGGTCGGAGGCTGGTACTTGTACTCACCTGGTATGTACTGGATATTACAATGGAGTGTGTCACTGTGGGTTGCAAACTAAAGTTTGGAAATCACAGGATTTTAAACATTTTTTTAAAGTCAAAGGATTTAGAAAACTACATAACCAATTAATCACTTTCACATCTCCTATTTGCAACACAGTGCATTAGTCAGACCACCCATAAATAAGAATGGCTGAGAGGTTTGACACACCTGTACACAATGTGTAAAATGTTAGACGCAAACACTCTGTTGCCTTAAAGAACATTTTCTCTGCTCTTCTCGTTTTTGTAAGAAGCACTCGATATATGGCTGATTGAGCAGAACCCACTGCCTGCTTACAAATAAAAATAACCAAAAGTCTAATTTAAGGGATAGAAGAGCTTCCACTACACAAACCTTTTTGGTCAAGAAGGAATTATTGAGTAAAGTGCATCACTTTATTTGAATTTACAAGCACTTTGGATCGTTGTAACATCTCCTTGCCATTAGCACCAATGAAAATGTCCACGCACCAACGCACGCATGTAAAGAGAATAAGACCTCCTAATAAAGTGCACAGGGTGTGTACACACTCGCACAAACACACACACACATCAATACTGCACAGAAAAACCACAGTGGCTGGACCATGGAAAGGTGGATGTGCTTATGGTCTCAGATGATACATGGTGAGGTGGAACCTCCCTGCTCGTCATCCCTTTCACACCGGAACCCCAGCGGTGTTGCTTTGAGGCTTCTCAGAGGGGAGCGATGGTGTCAGAGGTGTCGGCACCAATGGATGAGGGACCAAAGATCAGGAGAGGTCACGCAGGTCACGGTCATGTCGAGCTCGGACGCCCTCGGGTCTGCAGGCTGCTGAAATGCGCCTCCCTCAGGACTCTGTTAATACAGACATAAGAGCCACTTTGCCCGTCACCATGGAGACCGTGCTGCATGGAGCTGGCAGGGTGTTCCTGTGTTGTGCTGGTGCAGGTTTTCTGGCTGTGTATGGATGGCCTGGTGCTGGCCTCAAACGCCGTCTCTGGACTGCTGATTCCATTACTGCTGTCGCTGTTGGAAGACTGCAAAACACAGGTCGGAGAGAAGAACGCTTCATGGATGCTGTGAATAAATCCTTCTGCAAACACTGCACCACATATATATATGTTCTGTGTTGCTTACACTCAACTAGGAAAAAAAAAAAGTAAATACAAAAGCAATGCAAATGAATATTTCAGTGTCACCTCCGAGTCCAGATCTGATTCGAGCAGGCAGGGACCCCTTCCTGACCTCTTGGCTTGAGGTATCAGCTGCTGGTCTTCAACGCTGTCACAGCTACAGTGTCGCTTTCTGTGCCAAACACAAATGGAAGGAACAGAAAAATGATGTGACAGAAATGTTGCAGGGAAGGGAGGGAGGGGGAGTAGCAGGAAGAGAGAATAATGAAGAGGAACCAAAAATAGAAGCACACTCAGGCATGTTGCACTCCCAAAAAACCCAGAGCACACTGAGCAACATGTAAACAGCGCCGTCCACATAGAACTAGATCTGCTTAGAACATAGTGCTGACTTAGATCTGTGAAATTATGAGGATCTTACCTGTTATGAGTCAACATTTCTGCAATGGTGACGGATGATTTTTGGTTTTAAACGGCGCACACTCCTTATAAGCCTTCTTGGGGATATAGAGCAATAAAAACTTGGGCTCAGTATGGCTAACCCTCCCTCATACTTCCTGAGGGACTGTCAGAGAGCTAACCAGCCGGGAGTTATAGGAACAGCCCGCTGCACCACCCTCCCTCCGCTGTGGTTGACTTCAGTCCCGTCACCGTTCAGGGCCTCCGAGCTGTCCCGGTGGAGGAGAACAAACCTGATGCTGAACGTGTGAAAAGACCGCGGCCAGCTGGGTGTTCTCGTTCACGGAGCGAAATGTCCATGAACCCCAGGCACCATCATGACAGCAGAGGGAGCAAAGCTCGTCCGGTGCTGCTGTACGAGCAGCTCAAGTTCTTCCGCTTTCGTCTTCCACGCGCTCACAGTTAATCGCGCTGAGCCGATAAAAAATACTTAACGGCAGTTTCAGAATACTGCCGTGAAAATAAACTTGTTTAAAAAATACAATTTGAACGTTGTCTAAAGCGAGCTACGATCACTCCTGCGTCATTTGTATTGTAGTGAAACAAACAAACGAACAAACAAAAAAAAAACCGGATTAACGTATTTCCTGTTTTTAAGCTCCGCCTTCGTGTTTACCTACGTCACGAAGTATGACTTCCGGTGGTCACAGCTGCAAGGTAAATTTGTGTTTGTACGTGCTTTTACTTCTCTTTTTCATAAAAACGACAACTGATGTTTTTTAAAATGCAATGTTTGATAATCTGTTGTAAGCAGAAGACAACAAAACACTAAATGATAGCTAGCTAGGCCGACCGATAGCAATAATAGGAATAAACAAATAAAGTATAGTTTCACTAAAATCCACCCAGTGGTTCATGAGATATTTTGCTAACAGTGTTGGCTCCTATTGTTAATGAAAATAAATAATAAAGATATGCAATGTGCAGTTAATGATCTGCAAGTTGTGGCAAATATCTTTTAAAATTAATTTATAAAGCAGTTAAAAAAGGCTTACTGATACCTTTTGTGGGACGACAATGCAAAGTTCACTTTTTTAATTTATTATGTTTTCTGTGCAGATGAAACTGATCCAGCATTCTAGAGAAAAGCTCCACACAGCTTTGGTTTCTAATTCACAGACTGTGGCTAAATTGTACAGTAAGTACACAGAAGATGAAAGGCGTCTCCTGGAGGAAGGACTCCACCCAGGAGAACCAGGTTCCCTCTTCAAGCCCATCACCGTGCACTCTGATTCAGACTGGATCCTTGCTCATCCTGAGGAGCCCCAGGACTTTGAGACGTTCTATACGGACCCTTATCGCAGGACACCTAATGCAGACCACAGCACTATGTATCTACAAACAATAGGTGAGAGTGGTTTGTGGTTGTGTTTAAACTCACTTTTCTTTTGATATGCATTAAACATTATTTTTGAACACATTTACATTTGAAAACAAACCTCAGAAAAAAGATTGTCATTATGTTGTGCAGTGGCTTAAGGACTGCCAAGTCCTTTGTTTAAATGGTTGTTGCGCCTTAAGTATAATCTGTTTTTTAGGTTCGTTTGGAGAAGTGGGAGCCCAAACTGACCAGTATGTTGAGTGGCTCCGAGATTACTGCCAGGCGTTTTTTTATGGACTTTCTGTCAAGTTGCTTCCAGCAGTTTCTGTGGCTGAAACAGGATGCTCTTTCAGGGTCAACAGTAACTCACACAATCTGCAGATTCTGACAGGTAACCATAGAACTTGATATTTTTTTCTTTAATTCTTGCCTTAATTGTAATTCGCTTGTTTTAGACTTTTTAAGGCATTAAGTGTAAAAGATGAAATGTTTTTGCTTTGTCTTGAAATTAAGGTGACCTGTTGCGATTTCTAGAGAAGAGGAAACCAACAGATGCTTTCTGCATTGTTGGAATCACAATGATTGACCTCTATCCCCGCAACTCCTGGAATTTTGTCTTTGGACAGGCTTCTCTCAGTATGGGTGAGGTTTTACAGACAGGCCTTAAAAGATATTTAAAAAACAAGTCGGATCTTAAACTTTAGAAGGTGAATTTAAAAAAAAACATACAATCAAGCCCTATTAACACAAAAGTCAGAGTTGTAGGAATGAAATTAAAAGTCATATGACTGTGTTGCAATGATCATAAGACCGAATCAAATGGATAACAGAGTTGGCATTACATGCACATTGGTGGGGCACCCCCTCAGTCCTGGATACAACTGGATTCATCGTGGAACAGAGTCATACAGCTATTGTATTCCAACGAATGGGGCAGTGAACCCACAGTGAGGCTGATGGTGATTGTTGAGAGTAGGATGAAGCAGGTGTTCTGTAATGCTTCGTGCACAACATAACAATCCTCCTTTAGTGTGGTTTGTTATTGGTTCCTGAAAGCTTTACTGTGTGTGGGGACCCTCCTGTACACATTAGTTCCAACACTGACCCACTGTAACATCTGTATGCCTCACATGCCTGACAATTGTTTTGATACTACCACCAGTCCTGATTTAAAAAACCACAGCGTGCCCCATATTAAATAACACCAAGTTCTGGCAATACTGTCTAATGTGTCTACAAGACATCTATGTCTGGTGACTTTCAGCCACTGTTTTGATTGACTGCTGGTGCTGGATACTCTGACAACTGCCTGATAACAGGTGCCTGATAGCAGGTTCTACATGTGTGCAGTGGAGAGCATCCCGTGCTCCAGCATCAACATGTGGCATGGAGGCTGCACAGCTGCAGAAAGAAAAGCTCTGCAGAGAGTGGTGAAGGCTGCACAGAAGTCTGATGGAATCAGTCTCCCCACCATCACAGACATTTACACCTCTAGATGCAGGACGAGGGCCAACTGCATCATGAAGGACCCCACTCACCCAGCACACACACTTTTTGCCGCACTCCCTTCAGGAAGGAGGTTGAGGAGCATTAAATGTAGAACCACTAGACTGAGGAACAGCTTCTACCCTGAAGCTGTTAGACTCATGAATCTCTAACCAGAATAATCACTGTGAAGAATCACCTCATGTTGCTGCTGATCTGTTTCATGTTGATGTGTTCATGCGTGCACATCTGCTCACACAGACGCATGTTCATGTTTGTGCAGATGTTCGAAGTAATGTTTTTATGTTTTTAGTGCTTAGTGTATATTTAGTGATGTATTTCTTAGTTCATATCTTAGATGTTATTACTGTTTTTCTTTTACATTTTATTGTTGGATGTAACTGGGACCCTGTGTACATAATTTTGCTCCACCACATGTACCACATGACATGTGAATGACAATAAAGAATCTCTGTCTCTCTGATAACACTACTACTAGTGATGCCTAAGCTTGGGGCCCATTCTGATTGCACCAGCTCCCTGAAAATTCTTTTTTTTTTTACATCCAACATATCGAGTTCAAGCTTCTTTATTGTCATTTGTATCACATGTGGTACATGAGGTGGAACAAAATTGTGTACTCAAGGTCCCAGTTACATCCACACTAGCAAAAATATAAAGTATAAGAAGAAACAGTATATAAGGATCTAAGATATACACTAAGGTATATGCTAAACAAACACCAAAAGATCTAAGATATATGCTAAACACTAATAATGTAAAGTAATATATTAAACAGCAGCCTGAACATGAGTCTGTAGTGAGTAGATGGGTATGAATGAATACAGCAGCATGAGATCAGTAGCTTGAGATAATAAGCAGCATGATATCAGCAGCACAGATAAGCCACATTTCACCAACTAAAGTGGCATAACAGTCATTTTCTTTTTTTTTTTTTTCCTTACAGTGATTTGTCTGGTTAGGGATTTATGAGTCTAACAGCTTCAGGGTAGAAGTTGTTCCTCAGTTCAGTGGTTCTACGCTTAATGCTACGCAACCTCCTACCTGAGGGGAGTGAGACAAACAATGGGTGTGCTGGGTGAGTGGTGTCCTTCATGATGCAGGTGGCCCTCTTCATCCTTCTGTGGTCTGCACATGTAGCAATTTACATCCAGAATGTACTATTATTTTTGAATGTTTAACTTTATTTGTTGGTGAGTGTATATAAAAATGCTCCAGACTATAAATTAGGAGAATATTTAGCAGAATTTATTCATTCATGTTGCTTATTGTGAGTGATATAACAAAGTGGCCGATAGATGGAGCCAAACACAACCAGAAAACAGTTTAAACGCTGTCCCTTCTTGACCGTTTAGTGTGTGTTTGCAGGAATGGGAGTCTTCAGCTTTGCCAGGTATGATGACAACTTCTACACCAGAAGTTATGCTGGGAGGCTGAAGAAGCAGATTCAGACAAAACCGGGAGCCTACTCTGTGTTTGAGGGATACTACACTCCACCCATCACCAGCACTCTGCTGCTTCGATCCTGCAAGGTTATTAAAAAATAAATAAATCAGCACTCGGTCAACTTTAGTGCTTTGAGATCATGGGGCAGATTGTTGATGTTTCCAACTTTGCCATCATTGCCAACTAATGTATAATATCTGTTTACAGACCATGACCCATGAGATAGGCCATATGTTTGGACTTAAGCACTGCCAGTGGATGAACTGTGTCATGCAGGGCTCAAACCACCTTGAAGAGTCTGATCGTAGGCCGATGGATTTCTGTCCCATCTGCCTTCACAAACTACACGTGTCAGTGGGTTTCCAAATTGCTGAAAGATACAAGGTAACAAGTCATTGTTTTTATAGAAAACCTACCCTTCTTGTCCTTTTGTATAAAATATATTGATGTCCCTTTACAATATGCTGTAATTATCACCCACCACAGGAGCGCAAAAGATGGGCAATAATTGTGTGTTCATGCTTCTGTCAGCAAAATATCTCATGAAGCACAAGGCATATTTTTATGGAACTTAAAGAAAGTAATCAAAAGATGCAGATGTAGAAGAGCTTAACTTTTGAAGCTAATCCAGTTCAAAGTGGCGACACACCAATTGTCTCTAAAAACCTCAAAAATTGTTTGTAATTCAGTCAATTTTACAGATATTGGTCTAAAATTTGGTGTGACATTAGCTGGGAGTCATACAGACACATCCTTATTGCTTTATATGTTTTCATTAAACGTTGGTGTTAATGGTTGGGATCAGCATGTGAGAAGTGTTCATGGAAGGCAAAATAAACAGGTCGCTCTTGAAAATGAGTTCTCGTCACTCAATGAGGTCATGAATTTTTAGCACTTTACATTTGAGACAGATTTAAACCTGAAAACAGACCTAAACACCTTGTGAGAGTGAAGTGGTCCGTGTAAGTCTTGTAGAGATGAGCACAAACCTTTTGGGGAAAAAAGTTCCTTCTTATTATATTTCTTTCGGTTAATCAGTTTGGTTATTTGATAAAGTTGTTATTTTCTGTCTGTCAGGCTTTACTGCGTTGGCTGGAAGAGGAGCCGGCTTCTCGACCAGAGCTGGAATCTGCAACTTCACTCAGCTTTGTCAAACCCACTGAGGCCTTTCAGACATCTAAATTATGGCTCCGCAGGTGTTTGGACATACTTGAAAAAAGATAACTATAGTAATCCAACATTTTTCAGTCAGGTCATGTGGACAGTTTCTTTTTTTGTGCTGAAATGTTTCGCCTTCGATCCAGAGGGCTTCATCAGTCAAGAAAACACACAACAAAACTGATTCTTCCTCCAACAGCTTACTCCAAAATGGAACAAACCAGTTCTGCTTGTGATAAGATGGTCTCTTCGGTACGCCCCTCCTCCATTGCCGGCCCTCTTCCTTGTTGACAGTCTTGTCAAACTGGTTGAAAACAACAAAGTCCATGCTCAATAATCCAGGTATAAAATCCAACATTTTTCAGTCAGGTCATCTGGACAGTTTCATCTGGTTTGTTCCACTTTGGAGTAAGCTGTTGGAGGAAGAATCAGTTTTGTGTTGTGTGTTTCCTTGACTGATGAAGCCTTCCGGATCGAAGGCGAAACGTTTCAGCACAATAAAAGAAACTGTCCAGATGACCTGACTGAAAAATGTTGGATTTTATACTTGGATTATTGAGCATGGACTTTGTTGTTTTTATAACTATGTATTTTTTTTTTTTTTTAACTAAACCTGTTCAATGGAACAGAGCAGAGTATGTAGATGAACAGATGCTGGGATGTATTCATCATTTAACGCGGATTCCTCATTTTTCTGGACTGAATAAAACGTGCATTGAATTTAAGGAAATGCAAACGTGAGACGTCATTTAAATTTGACCCATCAAAATGAATGCGGTCATTTATTTACAGAATCAAATTTAACATCAAACATTTACATTAATTTGGCAAATTATGAAAATAACAACATAAGCAATCAATCAGGAAAAATCATACGGCCATGATTTTACCGTTGCTGCACCACAGACATTTATAAAACTGTACAACTATGATCTTTTACCCACACGGATGTGAATAAGCACTTTACACAGACATTTCTAAATATCTGGGAGAATTTCTACTTCATAGGAAAGTTTAAAGATGGAAAGAAGTTTAGAGGGAGTAAAGGATGGGGTTTGAGGGAAATTGAATGTTACCAGAACCGACACTCTCCATCAGAAGCCCAGCTCGCCTCGGTACGCTTGGTAGGAAACTTGACCCATTACCTCTCTGATGATAATCAGCAGATATGGTGTTCCGTTAACGCTACCGGTGCAGCGTCTCCTAAGAATGGCTGTAGCCCGTCAGAAGTAGTGGCGAGGCTCTGTTCGACACACATTCACCTCAGTGGAAAATGTTATAATCCCATGGAACTCGGAAGAGCTTCGTTGTCATGTCAGGAACTCCAACAGCACTCCATCAGAACTTTAGCTCTCGTGTAGTTTACAGAACTCCCACAGAACTCTTGAAGTCTGACAACTCTCCAACTCTGTAACTCCGTGAGTCTGTGTAAACCAGGAAGTACTGACATTTTAAAGGCTCTTTCCCGGTTCACTTTTTGGGATTTTTCATTGGTCAGAAACGACCAGAAGGGGTGTGTTTTTGTGACGTAATAGGTTAGAGACAGCGAGAATTGTTATGGGACAGCTCAGAAATGTTCTCACAGACCGAGAGGGTTTGTTGTGGCGTGTTTAAGAAACAGGTGCAAAACATCTCTATTTACGTCTGAGAGGATTCTAAAACATGACAGTTTTAACATAACAACTTGTTTTTCGTTTGACTGTAACCTTGTAAACGCACACACTTGCTCATTCAAAAGCAGAAATCAGAAAAATGCATAATTACTCTGCAACAGCTTTTAACATGAGTTCTAACTTTTGCATGAGAATAAAAATCATTACTCAGTTAATAAAATTGATTAGTTCACTGCAACATCTAAAATGGTTTGAACTAAGACACTTTGATTATCAACATTTGTAAGATAGTAATGATAATAAAAAGAGAGTGTTCTTTTCACTTGAATCTTCAAGAAAGAAAGTCTCAGGATGGGTGAACCTGTATTTATGTATTCAAATACATGAAATGACAGCTTCTGTCCCACAAGGTTCTAAAGGTCAAGAGTTTTGACCTTAGACTGGGTTTCGACGTAGGCCTAGTCCACTACAGTCCCCCCTTTGGAAATCATCACCTGTCCATGGAGATGAATTCCAACTATGGACTTACGTCGTCGATTGTCCTTGAAGCTTGATGTAATCCAGCAAAGAAACAAGAGTCAAGAGTAATCCAGCAAGGAAACAAAAGTCAAAAGTAATCCAGCAAGGAAAACAGAAGTCAAGGTAATTCCACAATGTTCTTGGTAATTCCATTGTGTTGATTATAATTCCATATCGTCTCGATAATTCCATTGTAGCAATGCGGTAACCCCTTGGAAACAGAGTCTGTAATCCATTGGAAAAAGTCATATAATCCACAACGGTAAATCCACAACGATTGGAAGTGTTGATTAATCAGCATACAGAGGGGTACCCTTGGATTGAACTGAAGAAGCGGCCACTGGATGAAGAGTGGAGACCAACGTCAGGATTGCAGGTCGCCTCCAGCGAAGGTTGTCTCCAGCGACGTCCAGCCTGTGCCGTTCTGGTTCAATGTGTCATGCAATTATGTGGTTTAAGGTGGGCTTATGAAGGGGATTTTACATAAGGCCTTAAACTATATGCACCTGGTGTGTAAGCTATTATGGTTGAGAACAGCTACGACTACCAGTTAAGGGGTGGAGCATGCTGAAAAGGGGTAACTACAGGGGTTTAAGCCTATAGAAAAGGGTTCCAAACTACTTTTCCATTTCTAACTTGGGTTAAGTTAGCTTTACATGGCAAAATATAGTTTGGTTCAAATGTCTGTTGTCTTTTAGACGAACGACTTGAGATTGGGTGTTTGGTTTCCCCATAAATGTTTTGGAAGTCTATGGCGAGACTTATCAAAAAGAATTAGCTATCCCCCCCGAATAGAATTGTTCGAGTAGGTTCGGCTTAAGCGATGTGAGACCAATGTAGATTATGGTACTTAAAGTAGCAATAATATACATTGACTCCGCAAAGATTGCAATTTAATGAATGAACTGCATGTTGGCATGGTCAAAGGCTTCTTAGTCTCTAACTTAACTTACACACAAGATACATTCTTACCCCAGAAACAACCAAAATCAACTAAACAACGTTTCAACACCGACAAGAGTAGTGACTAAGCATCTAGAAACATCGTTTCACTGCTCCTCCTCACCCTGGTTGTCAGTTTCAGTCGCGCTGTCCCGTGTGAGTGGCTTCTTTGCGGACCCGCTTACGCGAGGCATAATCATATCGAGGTGCGCTGCATGGCGATCCACGTCGACTCGGAGTGACGTTTGGCCCCGGGACAGGGATGCGAGTATCCCACACAATACGAGGGTTATCGTCATTAGCAGGGCTATGATTAATGTGTCCGCGCTCGACCACGCATAGTTAATTGGTTGGATCGGGTTCTTAGTTGTGGACCTGAGGGACTTGAGAACTTGGTTTATTGGTTCCACGTCGACGACTTGGGTGCCTTCAAAACGGATCCTTCCCAGAGTCTCTGGATCTATGTCTATAGACATATTTCTCAGGTACTCTGAGTCATCCAGAGTCGCGTCCCATCGTTCCGGATCGAGGTGATAGAGCGTCAAATCACCAATGTGTATGGTTGTTCCCTGGGGAACACTGATCCACATCGTTTTGTCCGGTAACGCCAAAGGTCTATTTGCCCCGGGTTGATCGTAGGCTATGATCGCCTGTCTTTGAGGAGCGTTCACTAGCCAACGAGAGCCAATTATTTCCGCTTTTGCATCTTTAGCCAGGTGTCGAGGCGTTACGGTCGTTGAGCACTTAGAATTTTCCGGAATAGGTGTTAATCCGCATATGCCCGCGGTTTTATTCCACATAAACGGTTTGCTCGGGCACAGATAGTGTATCTCCCGAGTGAGAACACACATCTGCAGGTTTGGAGCTAGGTAAACTGAGGGGTTGTCGTCGTGGTACGCAACCATCCTTGGTGTGTCAATTTGAACATGGTTTTCGCCGTGCCAATTGCCAACATTTACGACGTCCCTGAGTCTATATATGCCGTTTGAGGGAATTATCGGTAGGTTGATAATGAACGCCATTTCAAATGTTTTGTGATTGACGTAGATTGGGATTGCGCTACCGAGAGTGTAAGCCAGGTGTGCCTGTGTTTGCGTAACTTTTTCGTGCGTAGCGGAGCTGAGGATGTCGTTCACCATCTGTAGAGAGACTAGATACGGTGGGATCCTACCGGTGGCTAGTGTATCTACCGACGAACTGATATCTCTAAGCATGTCAGCAAAAATCCTATCCATTAGGTGTGCGACAGCGTAATCCGCTTCAACCTTAAGGGCTAACTCATTTACCGCTATTACGAGGGCTTTGATCTCTTGGGTGTGAGTCAAGAGGGTGAAGATTACCAGTAGTGGTATCATCATAGTCCTATGGAAACACAAAGAGATAGGTCTTAGCTTCGTAATGGTCAAGGGTAGGTCCTGTGAATTTAAACTATGGTTAAGTTTATTATCCATTAGTTATCTTCTGCTTGGATGACCCTTGTTCCCACGAGGTCAGATTTTGTGAGATCTTTGTCTCCTGAGGAGTTATTGCACGCCTTGTGTGGTTTAACCTGGTTACGGTGTACCCATTTAACAGTTGGCTCTTTTTGGCCTTTACTGATTTTTATCTGGTAGATAATTGGAGACACTTTGTCGGTTATCAGATGGGGTCCAGTCCATCTGGGCATCAGCTTACGGGCGAGAGTTCCGGTCCCGGACTCTCCTCTCCCAGTTTTGGGTGCAAACGTGTAGTACCAGACCCTGTCTCCCACTTGGAGTTCCTCGTGAGAGGCCTTTTGGTCGTAGTACGCTTTGCGTCCTTCAGCTGATTTTTCCAGGTTTTTCTGTGCGAAAGCAAAAGTGTTTTTAAGGTGTCTTTCCAAGTCTTTCATGTATTGTTGTGTGGTGTATGCTGTTGCCATGGCAGCATCGCCTGGTTGGTACAACAGGTGCAGAGGGAGAGTCATTTGTCG